ACCTTCATTAAATTGTCGCTGAAATAGATGTTTAATTTTTAGCTAGGTGTGTCGGCAGCTATCTTCTATTTTTAAACATTCAGGGCGTACAAAAAGTCATGGAGAGGTAGTGATAAGGGGTAATTTCCAATCAAAAAGGCCATGCATGTCCTTATCCAATTACGCTTACTTGAAGAATGCTGTGTTTTATATTACGAAGACCAATATAAGGTAAGCTCAAAATAGTATGCCCATGTCAAGGAAGTTGTCACACTGACAGTGTGAAGCATGATATACTGAGTGACAAAAAAAGGTAAACACCTAGGTATGTTTATTAGAATTCAAGAATTTTTTACATATCAATTTATCTTGCCATGAGCTACAAGTGATAAACTGGTCAAGTTCTTCTGTTAAGTTTTTGTGGTGGCTGCGTGTATTGTTTGGTGATTTTTCAGCAAGACAATGCCAGACCGCATGTTGCCAGAGCACCGTTAGCCTTCATGGATCTGATATCGCATCAACCGTTTACCTTGGCCACCACGAGCGCCTGACCTGTCTCCAATTGAATATGTCTGAGACATGATAGGTCACAAGCTTTTGAATTTGCAGCAGCCTTCACAGATTTTAGCAGCTCTTACTCACGAACTTGCAGTAGCGTGGAATGAGATACTCCAACAGGGTATCGACCACCTTATCAGCACGATGATCAGGCATGCCAAAGAGTGTATAAGAAATCGTGGATCCTCAACACATTATTGAACCAGCTTCTGCAGGCCGTTGATGGATCAAGCTGAAAACTTAATCATTTTATATGTATATGCCAAAAACTATTAAAATCGGATAAATATACGTAGGTGTTTACCTTTTTCTGTCACTCGGTTTACTAATACGTTGGTGAAAAGCTTGTCAAGGCGGTGAGGCGTAACTACGGAACGTATGTATGAGTTTACACAAAGAATTACGCACAGAGGCAGATTACATATATGCATGTGTAAGGTCGATGGATGTATCAAAGCGATGCCGGTAGTTTTAGTGTGACCAGCCAAAAACTGCGGGATGAACTATAAGCACATACACTTTTCAGAATTTCTCATCAGGAGGGCTACAAAATTAGGCAGGAATGACTGAAGAAATTGTACCCGTCGGGACATCTTGCATTGCATTAAGTAGGATTACGAGGGTTCGACAATCTGAAAACATCATACGGAAATAGGTTGGCAATATTAAATATATGTATCATTATATCCGAGCTATACTAAAAAAAGTTGCCCTATGCTGCTAGCTACTACTCCAGCTATATAATGCAGCAAACATATTGCTTCTTCAAAGACTTCATTTCGCGAAACACATTGTCTATTCACGTCAACTGAAAAATGGGTGTTTAATTTTATGCTAGTTCCACGCGTCACTTTAACCCACTATGCACCTGGAGTCTTACGTCCACAACAGCCATTGTACTTCCTGGCTAAACCTCATCGAAAAACTCCCTTGTCGGAACTTACTGTTTATTAAAAAACGTCGTTTCCGAAAACGGTCACATTTCACACAATGAAACACTTCACATTTTTTACCTCCGTCTAGCTTTCGCGGTTACCTCTGTGCTCTCGCTCCCATTTATCTCCCTTTGTGTAACAGATATATTGTGATGACAAACTGCGAACGGGCCAACGTGAATCTTAACGCATCTTATCCTTCTTTCTTTTTGTCGCCCGACATTACATCGCTTCGTACCCCCCGTCCCCCAAGTTACATCCCCGGAAAGTACAAGTGGCATGACATCATAAAGAAAACACGAATAAGTGTGCTCATCCTGTTTGTTGGCAAAAGAAGTTAAGCATATTTTGTCTCAGCTGCATGGATATCTAGGCATATCATTTTTCTTTCTTATACAATAATTTATCTTTGTGGAATGTTGGAGTTACAGGACTTGGTTTGAGAATCAGTATTTGCATGATTTGTAGCCGAACAATAAGATCAACAGAAATAATACAAACCATGCAAATGTTAATTTGACTAACGGCCTTTCAAAAATCAAGGTGTCCCTAAACTTTCTATTGCAGTTGCAGTGGTATCCATACCAAAGTGATAGAAGGCCAATCAAACAAAGAGAACTCTTAATATAGTTGTAGTCCTATATTGAATAGTAACAGTTCCATTGCATGAAGAAACACTTAGTTATTCCAACTTTTTGGTAAATACGTTATAATAGTAGCCGTAGCAAGCTATTAACGGAATGAGTTATTAACAGCCAGTAGCTATCATCATCTTCTAAGATAGAACCTGAGCAAGTGTGGGCTGAAAAAATCACGTAACTCAAATACTAAACGTATGTTTATACTTTACCTTTATTACATAAGTGTTCGTATGACGTTGCTATTTGGCGCGAAATATTGCGATGGTTGATTGAACTCAAGTTTATATAAAATACCTCATGGTGCGTGAAGCAACTGGAAAGGATCAAATCACCGCCAAAGATCGCTGGTTTTATAATGATTCCAAACAAGGTGGGTTCGATATTCGCTCAGAATTATCATCCAATTAGCCTTGTGACAGTTTCTTCTAGGCTCGTTGAAGATGCGATTCTACGTCACCTTGAAAATGTCTCGTCTGATCACCATGTGTTTCCTGACGAACAATTTGGATTTAAAGACTTGTGGATCCATTAACCAGAGACTTAGCCTTAACGAGGCTATTAGCATCTTGCTTCTGAATGTCTTAATGGCATTTGATAAGGTGTGGACAACAGCCCCCTCTAGGAACTGATTTCAGAGGGCTTCCCCTTCTGGCTCCTTTTTGAAGTTCCTCCTTGAAGTTAGGACATGTTGAATCATAATTAATAATCTCCTGTCGACTACACGTTCCAACAGAACCTCTTATTGTTCGGTACTTGAACTAATTCTTCATTCGCTGTTTATTTATAATGTCCCTTGGCATAGCAACTCTGAAATCTATCTCTATGCTGATGAAACTGCCCTGGTGGCGCAATCGTGATCTGAGAACCTACGAGTAGTTTAAAATGCAATTATTCGAAAACGTAGGCTATGTATTGTACTAAAAAATGTAACGAAGCCGTTGGAGGTCAGTAGATGTAGTTCGCTTACCATGGAAAAATTCTGTTAGGTACCTTGGTGTCATTCTTGACAAGGGGATGAAGTCAAATTCCAAATAACGATTCGTCAACTCCACCCCTAACTAAAAAAGTTGGCTACTAGACCAGCATACACTTACGCAAGTGCAGCCTGGTGTTTTCTTGCCAAATCGCATTCGCGTAGTTTGCAGGCTTGTGCAGGACAGAATCTTGCACAAAATATCTAACAGACTATGTCTTCAAATAGATCTCAAAATCTACAGGCGCGGATACGTTATAGTCAAGCACAATCGCATAGCAACCCATTATTGCGCGAGTCAGTAGACAATACAGGGTGTAAAAGTTATGGTAGTCATTACTGAAATGGGTAATAATAAATTTTTATAATCTAATCTAAAACGTTTTTAAATTTTGTAATTAAAAAATAAATGGCATTAAGTTTTTCTAAGTTAAGCCAAAATATGTAGTCAGTAAGAAAATAAGTTTCATTAAATTGAATATTTAAAACACACTTGACAATAGCGCGTCAGTCATCATCACTCTTATTGAACCGGCAATCGATCGCAAACGGTAACATGCATAGTTTTACGGCGTTGTCAGATTTATTTTACTTTAAAGTCGCTTATCTCTAAAAAATGCCGTTTTGACTCCTATGTTATATGAAACTTTTTGCTCCTTTTAATCCCCTCTATCACCCATTTAAATAATGACTATCATAACGTTTACACCCTGTATAGTCGAGCAAAGTCAAAAGCACACGAGACCGCTTGCACCGTAAAAATTAAATCGTGCAACTCTAGTTCCAACCAAAAATACAATGTTTCTACAACCACGAATCCCTAAATTACCCGTAACATCAATTGAAAATTCCCAAATACTAGTTAAGAATGCCAAGACACCTCAAACTGACGCACTTCTTCCACTTTGTTCTCCCTCGTTCCTTTCTCTATTTTTCACGACCACGTCTTGTTAGTTGCAGCGCCTGTTTCTTCACCATCCATAAGGTTCTGATTATATACCGCCTCCTTATATCTGATTTACTACTATGACCCTATTAATATGCAAGCTTTCTGAAGCAACAACAGATATCAAACTTATTCTCCTATGCCCGTTTGAGCGGTTGAGCGATTGAAGATCTTTTCATGTCAATGTCAGTCACAACGAGTGTTATATGATGACACCGACTCACTGTTTCAGTCTTTATTGCGTTGTAATGTGCAGTGAAAACCCATGCAACAGTTTAAAATGCACTCGTGAAAAGCGGAAAGTATAAAATGCAAATGACGCATCGACAAATGGGTCCAGATCTTCGATTCTTCGTAAACGCAGCGTGATATGTGGCTATAAAGCACAACCGTATTTCATGTTGGTCGTTTATGAAGTAATTACAGATGCATTACCAGCTTTTGTCGCGGCTTTATGGTAATATTACGACTGTTATTAAAACACTGGGAATTAATGGTGATTGTCGTTCATTTGAACACGCCGCAAATGGAAAAAATCTGGACAGTTACACGAAAAACGTCACTGAAGGGAATTTGAGTTTAAAATAAGGCTCTGTGGAGAGTGGAACATGTTTTGAGATTGTCTTAGTCGATTCGCAGCTGTTGCATCCAATTTATGAATTTTGAGATGCTCCAGCCAACTAGATAGGATACAGCAGAAGTCTGGCAGTTAAATACAACGCAGGTAGGCTGCCTTTACATTTTTATAGGGTATCTGCTTTGGTTAGTTATAAACATTCAAGCATCAATATAGGACTCTTTTATCTGGATCACTTGAGGCAGTATAAGGCAGCCGCCTGAAACTAGCTTTTCGATTGGCATTTTTAAAGTAACAAATGACACTTTCATTTGATGGCAGTTACCTTTTTGTAATTCCATACTTTCAATCAAGATGTGGATAAAGAACTACTAATTAATTCCTTCTACAGAAATACGATGATATGGAATCAGCGAGGTAAGCTGCATCAAGCTGGATACGTTCTAGTTAAGCGCTGGTGCGAACATGCTTGCTGTGACGATATGCCTAGCAAGATGGGGTGAAATGACTGTAATCTTAGACTATCAGCCTGAGATCGTTATATCGATTAATCGGAGAGCACGACCATCGTTAGGGAACATTCGACGTATCTGCGGTCCAAATAAGACATATTGATAGCCAAATGGAATGCCTTACATTGATTACGTATTAAATACCTCAGCTGATAGATGATACTGGACAACTCTGCGCTAGAAGGCAATACGTTCTAAGAGACGCCACAACGTGTTTAATTAACTTTTGTTGGAGAATATATGACAGGTACATAAGGTTCACTGTAATTATATTAGGAGTCTTATACATGTGTATGAATGATAGGATACATGTTATGGCGTTTCGAACTGGCAACAAGAATACCTCCTTAATCTCATGATCTAGGAGGTTTATTTGATCATTTATCGAAAACGAGAAATATGCGAACAGAAAATATCTCAGGAAATTGGATTGTTTAATGGTTTTTATGGCATATGACACTATATTTTTGAAACTACACATCAGTCATGTCAACATTTTTTAATTTGGTCAACAGGGAACCCAATTACTTTATCAATAAAAAAAATAGAAGGGAGATTTTAAGATTTTTTTTAATTTTACGCACATTACACATTTCACACATCTTAGACTTCTCCATACATTTTCCGTTAACTATTCATAAATAAACCCCCGGTCGGTCGAGACGATGAAATAATTGTATGGGCCTGTTTGACTGACTTGTCTCAAGCGTATAACCTGATGATAGTGTTGCGTTGCAAGTGTGGAGTCAAACTACCCGACGCCATTTTGTTATTTATGTCTTGAATATTTTGTAATGCAAGCGTTATTTATCTGCTACAATACAACTCTTCATAAAAGTTTTGCGGCCTGAGTATGATGTGAATGCAATCTACAAAAATGCTTTTTTCTAACTAAGGGACTGTATAAATTTTCAAAAGATTCATGGAAATCTGTTTTCCAGTTTAGTATATGAAAAAAATTTATATATTTAACAGAATTTTTGTATTAACTTTTTCACGAATTATTGATCAACCGAAATTTTCTCTCTTAAAGTCTATAATCATTTTTGGTCATGTTTGACCACTTCTGAGAAAACCACAAACAATTGCCTGTTGAATTGCAGTGCAACTGAGTCACAGAACCTTTGCCTAGTTTTTTCATATAGGCAAATGCGCTAGATAACGCTTTCTTCCAATTCCCCCCATTTTTGCAAATTGGAGGTAAACTGAAAACGACACCGTCGCGTATCGTCCTCAGAACTCCACCAACTATATAATTCACGCATTCAAAGTGGTAACAATAATAACAACTGCCACCTACAAGTAATAACTTAGTTTTTTAGTAAGGCATCACTTCGTGCGTTTTTCTGTCTCCACACGACTAGACCTATACAGTTCCGTTTATTCAATGTCAAGTAGTTCACATCTACTTTACAGCTAGAATCGCCAGCCATCTACCGGCCACATAGTGATTGAGCTATTAGGCGTGAACTGAGATCCTTAACAGCTCCAACTAATTTCTGGTGTGATAGATGCCGCTTTACGCTGTCTTATTTTGCTATACAGTACTGATGGTTGCTAAAAAGCACGAAACAAGATTGTATACATCATTGCTGCAAAATTGGAAAATAAACAGATGCAATTCAACAATTTACGGAGGCATAACCCAATTTCTGTCTATTCTACGGACAGTAATTTCAAGTTTTATTATCTCATATCGATTTCATCCCTTAGCCCTTTTAAGGTTGACGTATGACGGTTGACGGGGGTTATCGCTGTTTCATAATTGCGTGTTCCCAGCCTTTTACCCGTGATCCCAGTTTAGCCAGATCGGCCTACCGCAAGCGTATTATACCGAATTCGAATTAAATGAACATGGAAAAGATAATTGTGCAACTTTAAGTACTTCTCGAAGGGAAATTTACTCAGTAGATTATGCTGGTTTCACAGTCGATTGATCTATAGAGCATGATATTTATTGGAGAAGTGATAATTTTTTATCCTAAATACCTTTTAATCAGTAGACCAAAATGGGATATACAAATGTAAATATTAATAGGCAAATGAAGAAATTCGACCCTCATATGAAAAACCAATAGTTCTTTTATGAGCCGTAACAGTTTTCGTTTTCTCAGGGGGATTCGTCATAATATACTAAGTGACATTTAAATCCGAACACCCAGTTTAAATGGTTTTATTTTAATAAAAGTTGGTGAATGTATTTATCTTATTGTAAATAACAAGTGAAAAAATTTTCAGCCTTATCAGTTGGACATTCCGGTTTTTATACTGCTTTTTTTTAATTCACTAACGCTCTAAAAATGAATATTTTAGCCGCAGTAAAGAATCAACGTTGGCGGATTTTGGTTCTTGACATCCTCTACGATCGGTTACGATGCCTAGAGTACGGAGACCTGTACGATTTCGTCAACTTAGTGAGTTTGATAGGGGCCGTATAGTGGGAAGCTGGACTTTCTTTTCGGGCAATTGTAGTTAGAGTGCAAAGAGGTGTAGACACTGTGGTTAGGTGTTGTCAGGCATGGCTTCGAGAAGGCCGTACGCAAAGAGCAAGGGGCACTGGACGCCGCCGTAGAACAACAGACCGTGAAGATCGCCGCCTAAGATTATTGGCCTTAAGGGACCGTTTCTCCACTACCAGGTCCATTGCAAATGAATGGTTTGCAGAGCACGGAAGACCTATTGGCATGCGAAGTGTTTACCGACGAATGAGAAGTTTTGGCTTGTTTTCATACCGGCCACACTGGGTCCTCCCTTTAACTCGAGAACACCGACGTAATCGCCTTGAGTGGTGCAGACAACGGTCACTCTGGGATCAGGAATGGAACAGTATTGTCTTTAGTGACGAGTCTCGATTTTGTTTAGGCATGCACGGTGGTCGTGCCAGGGTTACAAGGCGACGAGGTGAAAGGAGGAATCCACAGTTTTTTGTTGAAAGACATGTTCATCACACTGTTGGAGTTATGGTTTGGGGTGCTATATCTTCATCAGAGGTAACATGAACGCGCAGCGTTATATCCACGAAGGTCTAGAACCCCATCTTTTACCCTATCTTGACACCCTGGCAGATCCAGCTTTCCAACAAGATAATGCCCGACCACATGTTGCAAGAGTCACAATAATGATGTCACATTGTTACCATGGCCACCAAGGTCTCCCGACTTATCCCCAATTGAGCACGTGTGGGATATGATGGGTAGGAGACTGCTCAATTTGCAACGTCCTCCTCAGACTCTAGAAGCACTTCGAGAGGAGTTGGTGGTTGCCTGGAATGAGATACCACAGGAGGACATTGACCACCTGATCAGAAGCATGCCTAGGCGCGTTGGAGAATGCGCAGCACATCAGGGTGCATCCACACATTATTAAAGGTCAAAAGGGCTTTCAAGCAGTGCAATAATTTTGAAATTTTTATCATTTACTTATTATGCTTCATTAATAAAACCATTTAAACTGGGTGTTCGGATTTATATGTCACTTAGTATATTATACTTTTCGGGGGTCTATGAATAACGTCACGTGTCAAGTAAATTGACTCATTTCAATGGATTTGACCTTGTAGAGCAAAATAATTCCATGATTGTCTGGCCGCTGAATGATGCCACATATGTTCGAATTACCTTTCACTAACGTTACAGCGCCAGGGGGGCCTTTTGCAATGTACATATGACAGTTACAACATATTTCACTTTTATATGTCTTCCAGGTGACATCTTATTAGTTTTTACTTTCCTTCGTTACTATATGGTGTCATACGACAAGCATGGATCATAAAAAAGTTTCAGGTGTTAGACTGTGGGACAAAACTTCCAATTTCTCCAGTCGTTGTCACAATTGAATCAAACTCTGTATACCAGAACTAGATAATAACCATAACAAGAACCGGGTATTACCTTAGATATGACTTTGGACACCCGTGAGTCCCAGCGTGAAACTAACAATTGAATTCAGAACCTCCGCACTCGATTCGCCTGGAAATTTTCTCAGAAGATATTTAAAAGTATTATAAGACTCTGAAGAGCATAATTTACAATTAAAAGAAAAATCCATTTGTGGTGATGTGACCATAAGAAAAGGGATTCAACAGGTTGACTCAGCACTTCTCACGTAATGCCATCAGTTCCAAAAGCATTATTTGACATGAGTTAAGCCCTCTTAGATTGCATTACGAACATTTAATACAAAACAACCCAATGGATCAAGTGAGTTAAATAGGCCCAAGCAATTATCCAACGGTCCCCAGGCACTGCGCCACCTCCAGGTGTTAGGCTGCCTCTTAAGATTTGCATGTTTGCAATATTCGTGCGCAACATGTTCAAGTTTTTTCAAGATTTGACTCCGAGAAAATTTGCCACATAATATCCTAAAACATGTTTGGGGCTCTTACTTACTCATGGCATACAAAAAGTCTCCTTTTGCCAATGTTTAACTGGCCCCTTAAGAAAGCTTCTTCATTTAAGCCGATGTACTAGCGGTCGACGCTGCAATATAAGGGACTCAGGCCCAGCTCCCTATGTGACAAGATCTTCTCTTTGTTTAAGAAGTGCGTAAAGTTGAACGGGTTCTAAGCGCATAAGTATATCAACCCAAAAATATTCATATACCTGATAACCCTGCAATCTCCTCAGCCCCAATTTCTTAACGTCAAGAAAAAGTTCCGAAAGTAGGCAGGTTTTTTTTGTTTTTTCCTCGTGGCTCCGCCGTTACTGAACCAATCTTCCTAAACTATAAAGCTTTTCCAACTCAATGATGGCAGTAACATCTTGTGAAACTTTCATTGGAATCTAAACAGTACTTTACACATTATAGAAGGTGCCAAGGATTCGCAGACAGACAAGCAGACCGATGAATGGTTTTCTGTAATCAAAATATACACAATACCTTAGTTATCACCGAAGTATCTCTGAC